CACTTTTTGTATGGCAAAGGTCCACAGGAACTCCGCCATGTTTGTATCGTCTCAAAGTTTGCAATTCTGGGGGATTTGTGTGTGTTAGAATGAAGCATACAGAAATCCCATCTAACCTCCTTTTATAGGACATGTTTAACAAAGTGGCCTCCAAAGAAACAGTAACCACAATAATGGATGTTTGAAAAGCAAGGAAACCACGTTTCTAAGACTTTATTTTTATGTCTGCATTCAAAGATTTATAGTAGGGGCCATATTTTTAGGCTTTTTAAATCAATTTTGCAGTTTCAAACCAAAATTAGGAAAAACAGAGTCCATTGAAACAATTTAGAAAAAAATGGGACAATTTCTTTTCCATCCAATTTGTTTTTGTTTATATTTTAAAAAACAAATCATTATAAAAATATATAATTATTCCTTGTTTTAATTTTTATTTGGGTGTTCAACTTTAGATGTCTTTGGACACCGAAGCCAAAGAAAACAACAGAGAGAACGATAGCTTCCAATTTGATTTTGCTGAAAAACACTGTGGTTATGTTTCTCGTCTAAAACAAATTGTGACCGCAAATATTGAGATGGCACAAATGGTCAGCTAAAAAGTACGCTCCTGTTCGTATTAGTAAAACATGAATAACCTAACAAAACAAAAAGCCACATAAAAAAGGTAAAAAAATCTTTAAACTTTTTTTTGTTTCTAATAAATTTATTTTAATTTTGTAATCAACCTTCGTGTTGTTTTTATTTTGATTTCAATTTTTTCGAATTTTTTTATTTTATTTTTATTTTTTTAATTTTGATCTGGACTTTGATGGCTCAAAATTTGGGTCGTGACACTCGCTTTGTTAGTTGAATNAACGATATGATATAACATATGTGGAACATGAATGATATATTATATGATTGACATGTAAAATGACACATTGGCATGAAATACAACCCTGATACACGTGTGGAAGATACGATAAATGATATGATATGAAGAAAGATGCTGACAGAGTTGTAGTATATGATAATAAAAAAGGGAAAATGTTGGGATTTCATGTATTATTGTGTGATCATNTAGTTGAATTCTAAGCGGCTTATTAGTTGAATCACGAACATCTTTCTAACTGGTTTTGTTAAATTTTATGAGGCATGCTAATTGATTCTCGAACAAGTTTTCATCCTTGTTCGTACGAAATATTAATTTCATCACTCCGATTCACTTTCTTTTAAAGTAAATAGAAAGTTCTATTATTTNTATTGTGTGATCATGCATTGGTGGATACCCTCTCTCCTTTCACGTTAGTATGGACGAGTACACTACAAGATAGGACAACGATCATTATGTTTACTATACTGCTGCCATGACAGTCGCTGTTCCTAATGTGTCCGACATCAACACCTACTAGAGAATGCCCGCTTGACTTAAAAAAGCCCAGGAGGTGATTAANTTTAGAACAAACTTACCAAACAAAAAATTATAAAAGTCAAATCTCATTTCCATCTTTGGAAAAATCATTAAAATAATTGATTTTAATAGTAAGAATAAGTTTCACAATCAAATCAAACGATATATTTTGATTTTTTTTTTTGTAGATTTTTTATTTTCTTATTTTCGAAAAAATATTTTCAAAAATAAAAATAATGAAAATTTTAAAAATTTTAAAGAATCAATTAAAAAATATATTTGTCATAGTCCGATTTTCGAGACTTCGAAGCACCNGCGGTAAGAAATAGACTGCTATGATAGGTTCCACTCCTGAATTGTATCTGTTTGCATTTAACCGCGATAGGGGGTCACTTACTGAGTATTTCTTAAAATACTCAAGCCACGTAATACTTCTATTTCATGTAAAGGCAAGACATACATGTACGGCTGACAATGACACTGCAGTTTGAGACCATGGCACATCCATAGAGTGTTGTTAATGGCCCACGATCGAAAAATGTCAAAACAAATAAAGGGGCCAAAAATAACAATATGCACGTTGTTCTCTAATACATATGGACTCCACAAAAAATTTTCTCATCTGAACACACTCACGAATGATATGGAAGCGAGTGTCAATGTGTTTGCTGCATCCGTGAAATGCTGGATTCTTCATAGTACAATCACATATTTTTTTTCGACGTAGGGAGTTACCGGCTTTAGTTCACTTATAGTCACTTCACTCAACAAATTTCTCAGCCACAATGCTTGGCACGGCACCGCAATTGCTGCCATGAACTCAGCCACATAGGATGATAGTGCCACAGTTCGCTACATTTGAGAT